GGGTGAAAAAAAAACAGCAAAAAGGAAATGCCCTGTGATCTTGGGAAGGTTTTCAAAGGGTTTTGGTAGAAGGCAAAAAAGGGGTGGTTGGGAAAGGAGTCAACCCGGAGGCCCCGTTTTTAGTTCCAGGGGGGGGTCTAGGGGGGGGGGGGGGGGGGGGGCCCCCCCCCCCCCCCAGATGACCTGAGGTTTTCTAATACAACTGGTATTCTGCAAAAAAAAAAAAAAACCCTATGTGGTTTATTGGTGTTGAAGTAGAGCAAGAGACGAGTGCACCCCCTCCTAAAAAAAATCCTGAATCCGCCCCTGAGTTCTCAAGAGAAAATTTCTGTAAAATAACTGTTCCATTCATCGAAGATATTCGGAGCTTTCTACTAACTTACCTACTGAACTGTATTTTCTAAGGTTGCGGTTTTCAAATTTTATTACCAAGATACAGTGCGATTATTGTTTAAAAACTAATAATTCCTGAAATTTCGGAATTAACGAAAAACGTAGCCTGAAATTCATCCGATTGCTTCGAGTCGTTTTCTCCTCTCAACAACTGAGGGAGTAATAACGACTCGAAGTAATCAGATGAAATTCAGGCTACGAAAAACGTCACCTATAGAATTTTCTTATGAAAATACGGCTACTCCATGCCTCTACCGTTAATTCGACTCGACCCATCAGGATAGCTAACAGTTTCGGATGAGATGAAGAAGTCACCTAAAGCTTTCGAGTTTCGAAAGATTTTCATCAGTTTCGACTGGCTTTGTTTCCAGACCCTCAGGGAGAGAAAGAATCTGAAACGCGTGAATGAATTGAATAACGCTAAATATCAATATTGCCATTTGATCTTGAAATTAACAAAATGATCTTTGTGTCAGTATTGGCCATAGTGCGTTTAAATTGAATTCGAGGCGCCGTTAGAACGAGTGCAACGATTGAATGAAATATCCAGAAAGAAAAGCCAGTCAGTAAGATATGAAATACATCCACTGCAACTAGCTATTTTACAGGAGCCGATACCTTACAACCTTACAAATCCTGTGATGCTGTGTGATGCACACAGCATCTCAAATCTTGTGATGTGTATATTACGATATTAAGCATTCCAAACTCAGCAACCTCATTAAACTACATGGTATTGTTATACAAAACTACTATATTCAACTGAAATTTTCCCTGGAGAGTGTAATGGAGTCATTGTGGTGTTCATTGTCTTGTTTTTTGTTTTGTTTTGTTGTTTTTTTAAATATATATTGAGCGTTTCTCAGCTTGGGCTGCCTCTGAATGCATATTTTCTGTTTTAAGACACTTTGAAAATCGTCCTGACGAACAATAATAGCAAAGATGTCACTTAATCGGCATGTGCCACGTTTATTATGTTTGTCAAATGAATTTTGGCCTCATCACAAGAAACCCTGTCTGTACGCACATATACGTGCGCGAAACAGGTGGAGAGGGAGGAGAGGGTGGGGGGACGCCTTTTGCCCAGCAGGTAAACCACAGAATAGATGAGCTAAAAGAATACCTTTCAAATGATTCATTTTTCCGTGAAGTGAGGTAGCAACCGACCCACTAGCGGGTATTGGTAGACGATAAACTATCAGTAACCAATTAACCGGCACTCGCGCTAATATGAGAATATCCCAGGATCGAGTGCCAAGTGTACAACGACACCGTCGTTTCATCGATATGATTCTATTTTTGTCACTGCGACATGTTATGTTAATCGTTTGGAATCATTACAGATATACGGAAAATAACGCCTTCAAACATTTATTCACATCCGTCATTAAACAAAAATCTGTTATAATTTTAATAATAATGACGATAAAGATGATGATGACAATAATAATAGCATAAGTAATTTTATTAATCATCATAATAATAACGATGATGATCATTATGATAATGCTGATGATGACGATGATAATGTGATGCTGATAAATACAGTTGAACCTCCCCATTAGAACTAAAGGGGTTTATTTGAAAAAAAAAAGAATCGTGTATACACCAATTGGGAAGTGATTAAAAACCCACCCCGAACTTGAATTTTGCGTCGGCTCTTTCGTCAGAACGACAGACAAGCAGAAATTTGAGTATCCGAAAGGACATTTTTCTTTACTATCACTTTCTTGTTACGAGTTATGAACCGGATCTATTTTCTTAGCTGATATTTCTTTTTTATTATTTGTAGCTGCAGAGAACAGGTCCCAGCCCTCAAATATATGACTTCTGACATATCGTGACTCTATCCGGAGTCCGTTCTCAAATCTAGGATAACCACGTGCACGGTTTGAGAGTCTTTGAGCGTTTCGCCGCGCAAATTTCCATTATTAAGGAGTATAAACCTGTGTCATCCAGAATAGACTTACAACAATTCAGCAACAAACTTTGCCAGCAAAAAGCAGCCAGGTCTCTTCATTTCCGCCATTACCGTTTTATCGTTTGGATATAAATGACACGGCCGTTAAATAGTTGTATTTCGGATTTAATGGTTTATTTTTATTTTTTAAGGGAAATTAAAAAATTACATAATAATTGAACTTAGCAGGCATTGGTAGAGACGGTATAAGTTGTGATGCGGTTTATTTTGAGAAATTCTGACTTACACACAAATCGCTTGGAGACCAAACAAAAAGCTGGTTGGCCTAAAGGACTCTCGTGGGCGTCACCTGCGCGCGCGCGATGGACCACCTGTCATATCTATTTGCTTCTGAATATATTAATAGCAACGACGGGCATAAAAGCGCGCTAAAACTTGGCACGGCGGTAGTTGCTTGGAAAACGCGATTCAATGGAAACTCGAAAAATGGATTCTAGTAGCGAACAAAGTGAACAAGAAAACGCTTTGAAAAGATGTCGATGGTTAAGAATAAACTGGAATTGGTTCAAAGTGGGAAGCTCGAAATTTGGGATCCAAATTCGCTTAAATCCAGTCGTGACTCTGCTCTCGGCGTTGGTTATCTGGGGTTTTGTCGTCTTCTGTGTTTTGCTGCCAGAATTCGCGAATAAACAGATGGCCGAGTGGAAATCATGGATCACTGAGACCTTCACATGGATGTACATTGGTACCCAAAATGCCTGGGCTGTTTTTATCATCGTCCTGTACTTTTCCAAATACGGCACGATGAAACTGGGAAAACCGGATGAAAAACCTGAATTCAAAGACGCGACATACTTCACCATGCTGTTTGCCGCTGGCATAGGAATCGGCCTATTCTACTTTGGAGTTGGTAAGTTGATCACCTTTGCGTGAACGTCGATTGCTTTTCGTATTTTAGGAAACAAAGTCGCGCTCAGCCACGGATAAACCATTCATCTGAAGTGTGTGTAAGCTTATAATGATATGCAGTTCTACCATTTTCGTGCGTGTTACATGGGTAAAGATTTCTTGAGTTTAAGTAAATAAAGAATGAACAAATTGCAAAGTTAGGGAATTTTAACTCTGTAGATTAAATCCCGGCGCTTTTTAAAGCATTTTTACAACAAAATTACGATTTTTTCGGTAACCACATGTTCAGTAAAATCACTAGCAAGTAAAAGTACTTTCCCGCTGATAGAGTAAAATTACGGAGACGCGTCACGCATGGGTACACCCGTCAATCAAACGTCATACCGCCTTTGATTTTTCCGCGATTTACCCGCATGAATGAAAAACGCGCGCTTTTTATGCAAATTTCTCTCAGTGATTTTACGAGCTACACGTGGAAATATATTATTTATATTTCGTTTTCGCAGCGAATAGTATAACGAGAAATGAAAGCTGTAAAAAGTAGAGGTGTTAGATTGCCGTTAGTTAAAAATCTTTCAAACAGGTCCTTCTTAATTTTTGCTCAAGACGCGTCTGACTAAAATAAGACAATTTTTCAATGTTTACATCCTTTTGAATGAATTCGATTTCTTATTCGGTGGCGTTTAGGTACAAAACCTTTAAAGAAAATATTATTCATTCTCTGCTAACTTACTTAGCGCCTTTCGCATTCATACAAAAATACGTGCGTGATATAAAAATATGTGCTTGTCACTCTTCAGTTTCTTGTTTCAGAGCAACATTTTTTCAGTGTTCCACATGCATTTCGGTTTCTGAGAACTGAATGATAATCACGTCCGCGCCCAAACGCACAATATACCGCATTTCTTCTGGGGAAAAGTACTCAAGGCATTTCCTTGAGGAAACGATCACCACTTTAAATAAAATAACATATTAGTCCTAAGAAAATAGCGTGCATGTCATGGATCACGAATTTTTTTCATTTTATTTAATTAAAGTCCGTCATAAAATTAAACGTCGGCCGTTTTTGTTACTTTTTGTCGCCGCCGTTGCTTTCGTTTTTCTACACCGCTTTTAAAAGGTTTTTAACAACCACAACCATTTTTAACTTGCGGACAAAAATTTTCGTGGTATTCAGGAGTTCCATTGTGTATGTCTGCATTATTTGCATAAGATATTGCACAAGCTGCTGTCAAATTATCGACTTCAACTTGAGGTAACTACAAATTAGGCCTCAGCAGCAGTTTCCTGCAGTCCTAAACTTGGTATAATAGAATAATCAGTTCCCATGAAATTTCTTTTCTAAAAAAGTGATCGACAAACTTGATACAATATTGTGTTACACACATGCTGAGAGTGTTCATCATATTGCATATTTCCTTGCTTACCTTTTTGAACTACGATAGGTTTATAGTTCACATATGCTGGAGCCTAACTACATCAGAAATGTTGTTTTTTTTGCTTGTCAAAAAATTTAAAAAAGAAGTCGTTGTCTAAACCACAGTGGTTAAGCTAAGTTTAAAAAACTGAAACCTTTTTGTCAGTCAAATATTCTTTGATACTGGTCAAATTCATCTTATTGATTTGAAATATCATTGGATGATTGTTTTTTTTTGGGCTGGGAACATCTACAATAGTTGTCATAATTCCACCTGACCATGATATTATTTGTTATAAATATAGAACCTGTATGTCCTATTCTTGTGACATACATGTATTTTTGTCAGTTTTAGCATTTTTGATAAGAATTAAAATTCAAAGCAATACCAGTTCTACTTATGTATATTATTAAGGAAATATTTGTATAATAATTTCACTACTGAGAGTACAAGGTACAAATCTTTGATGTCATGTGAAGTCATGTGAGTAAAAAATCCAGCTAATGATTAACTCTAATTCCTTGCAGCTGAACCTGTGTGGCATTATGCTCCTGGTGACTATGGAAACCGATATTTTGACAGGTACGTGATGATAATGCCCAGCTCAATTAAACTTGATACTTTAAAGTCCCCAAGCTTTTCTTCATATTTTAAGAAAGGGACGAAGGTGTGCATCTTCTTCAATTCACATCTTCATGTGTTATGTAGTAGCACCTTTTTTAGTGTTAAACATTCTCATTATAATAATGTATCATGCTTGTCCAACTTTATCAGGTGCACCAGACGACCAAAATTATGATTTCAAATATGTCAAAGTGTTTCAAATGCTTTTCTCTGCGATTTAGAGTGCTGTTTTGTTAATTTGGTGCTGTTCTTGAGCCTAAATTATCTCTTTGGTATCTTAAGGGTAACTGATGGGTCCTATCAAATGTTTGAGGAGATGGAGTAGCTGTACTTTTATAAGAAAATTCTACACAGTAATAAAAGCTATGGCAGGGGCACCCAACAACTTTTTTCTGTAAAACAACTGTTTGAAGGAACAAATAAAAAAAAACGATAAAAATGTTAAAAACGACTCAAAGTAATTGTCTGAAATTCAAGCTGCAAATACACGTACTTCCTAGAAATTTCTAAAGCTCAAGAAAAGCTAAAAATTCCTGGATAACCGTGAAATTCCATTTGAATTGTCTAAGATATTCAGAGTTTTTCTACTAGCTTACCTATGATTTTCTGGGGTTGTGGTCTTCAAATTTTTAGGCTACACTATAAGCAGTCATACTGGCTTGTTATATTTCTTATTTGTCCCATTTACACCATGCAAAACTGTTTTAAATCTGTTTATGTAAACACAGTTTGAAGTTGTGCACAGATAAAGCCAAACTTCAAGTTATGAGGGCAAAACCTTAACATAGAAGTCCCTGTCTGTAAAATACAAGCAATCAGTTTTTCTTTTTATCAAACTTGGTTTTGCTACACCTGTTTTATTCTACAACTTTAAGTGAGAAGGGGCTGCAGAGACAGTGAGACCAAATAAATTAATTAGTTTTCTCATTGGTCATGCTACTCTACTGAAAAAAGTAATTTTGAACATGCCACATAGTTCTATGAACTTCTGATAGCTTATGTACTCACATCTCTCTTTCTTTATATAGGTATACCGATAACCAACGCGCCCAAGACTCTATCAACCTGACCTTGTTTCATTGGGGTATCCACGGATGGATTGTATACGTTGTGGTTGGTCTTCTCCTGGCCTTTGTTGGTTACAGACAGGAACTTCCCATGACCATGAGATCCTGCTTGTACCCTTTGATTGGCGATAAGATTTACGGGTGGATGGGTGATATGACCGACACTGTATCGGTAGTCTGCACCATGTTTGGCGTTTGTACCAGCCTGGGTATTGGAGTCATGCAACTGAACGCTGGCGTTCATCGCTTAAATGACAGCTTTGAGATCAGCACCACCAACCAGATTATCATCATCTGGTGTGTAACAGCCTGCGCAACTGCTTCTGTAGTGAGCGGCTTAAAGGTTGGAATCCGACGTTTAAGTGAGATCTGTTTCACCCTGGGTCTCTTTATCATGTTGATGGTGTTTTTCCTGGATGATCCCTGGCACTCCCTGAATGTGCTTGTTCAGAGCACTGGCTATTACTTGCAGACGGTCATACAACTTGGTTTCCACACTGATGCTTTTGCGCAATTGGGAAATGCTCCAGATGGTAAGGAAGCAGCTAACTGGATGGACAACTGGACCATCTTTTACTGGGGCTGGTGGATTGCCTGGTCTCCGTTCGTTGGCATGTTCATTGCAAAGATCTCAAGAGGAAGAACCATCAGACAGTTTATCAACGCAACCTTGACAGCACCAGTGGGATTTTCCATCCTGTGGTTCAGCATTTTTGGAGGAGTGGGCCTGAGAATGGAACGAAATGCAGAGCTTGCTAACATAACTTGTTCTTCGGTGTTAGGTGGAGGTGAAGCAAAGGAGTCTTTCGAAGGTTTGTACCGACTGTCCTGTCGTGGCAAGACCGACATGTGGTTTGACGTGATGGAGTCATACGAAGGCCTAGGTACTGTCCTTTCCGTTCTCTCCCTGGTAAGCATAGTCCTTTATTTCGTCACCAGCTCTGATAGTGGATCCCTTGTGATAGACTGCCTCTCTGCCAATGGTGATCCCGAGCCGCCCGTCCTACAACGCATTTTCTGGGCACTCACAGAAGGTGCGACAGCTACCGCTCTCCTGTACGCTGGAGGCCAAGACGCACTGATAGCCCTGCAGACAGTCTCAATAGCATCTGGCGTTCCCTACACGATCATATTGTGCTTTATGTGTGTAGCGCTGTGGAGAGCTGTCAAGATCGAAGCAGGAGACCTTGACATACGTGGCCCACAGTTCACCACTAGCCTCCTTGATGTGCTTAGCACTCCAACAACAGATAGTGTTTCCAAAGTTTCTCTGAGTGTTGTGGCTCCATGGTACTTTATAGGCGTAGCGGCTGGAGAGGTGGACAAACAAAACAGACGGAGATGCATCCACATGCTGATTCTCGCTGTACCTTTTTATGGGGCGATCGCTCTCTTTGCCATGGGATTTTTTCAGCCTAATTTAGTATACGTTGGGCTGTCCGTCCTGTTTGGTTTCTTTGCCTATGCCACAAGTGTACGCAACTCCATCCGCGAGAAACACGGCATCAATGGAAACATGGTGGAGGATTTCTTTGCTGTGTCTTGCCTATATCCATTTGCTGCCTACCAAATGGAAACCCACATGCGAAACTACGAACCGAGAAGCGCTGCAGTTGAAGAACTTCAAGTTGAGAGCGGAAAAGCGGCGTCTGAGTGCTCTTCACATAGTAGCTCTGAGTGCTGTTGTATCCCGTTAGGAGAGATGGACAAATTACTTTATGATCCAGACGCGAAAAATACAAACGTTTGATTCATCATATCAAATAGAAAAATGAACGTTATTTAAAGGACGTTAGCGTTAATTTAATTAGAAGTTTGATATTTTAGTACGGACGTTAAGTTTCTAAATTAAAGTAAGATGTTTAGGTATTAAGACATTTGTAATTTAATAAATAAGAACATTGTTATGTTTTGAGAGGGAATTTTAGTCTAGTGGAGTGGCACACTAGACTTTTAACTCCCGTGTTGTTTTTACGAGCCCTGACCCGGTTACATAAAGCAACGATCAAGTGCCAAATTTTCTACATTTACACCTGTATCCATAACTTGCAAAATCCTGAACAGGACAGCAAGTCTGAAACTGTAAGATAAGTGGTTTCTTGTCCCCTTCTACTCTCGTTAATCCGCCGTCGGCCTAGTTATCCGTATTACTGTGCAAGGAAATCCTGGGAAACAAAGAGAGTTGTCACAGAAAATCGCACTTCACTGCTTTATGCAACTGGAACCGGGCCTGTTTCAAGGAACTTCTCAACACGCTTATCAATTCACGCATGTGTAAATAGTACCAGCAGTCATCGATAATCCGAGGGGGAAATTTGTGATCGAGCTATCTAATTCAGTAGTAATGGCCAATGCATGCTACAGTAAGATTTACCAATCAGAGGGTAACCCTAGATATGGCCTCTAGAGAGTTGTGCAACCCGCAAAGGTTTGGTTTTCAGCCTTTACTTAATATCAACCATAGTTTGGGCCGGGAATACCATTGTCGTCGATTGTAAAAGTCGCTGACTATTCACTGACTATACCCTCCTAACCAAACTTAACTTGACTACCTCTCTCCTAGGTACGAAAAACAGATTCAAGTCTGGCACTTGTGGTTTGCTAGGCTTGTCGATAATAGTTATTACTCCTATGCGCAGCACCAGGTGTAAATTTCACATTTATATAAAAGTTGCGTTTTGTATGATAGAGGCTTTGGAATTCATTTTGTAAGAATACAAGTAAAAAGATTAATTTACCATGTGAGAAATTTGCTAAACAGTTTTATTTAAACCGACAGTAAATTACAGAGATCCTCAAAGATGAGATCTATTTATAAGGAATCGAAAGTCAAATAAATTGATATCATCTTTATATTTTGCCTCTGAAGATTGCTTACTTAAGTTTGTTAGAGTAATTTTACTTAACCCGTGAAACAAATACCTACAATGAATGCCAAATTGCTACAAGTAAACAAAAGAAGACAATGGAATTAGTGCATAATACTGCGTAGTCAGTAGTTATTTCCTATTTTACGGGCTAAGTAAAATCACTACAAATCAGCTCCTATTGTTCTGTAATGACGAAACTAATCTTTTGCTTTTTTGCTGTCGAAAAAAAAAACGCCCCCTTTATTTTATAGTATTGAAACAACACACTTAACTGTGCAGACTTCGTGGTATCCGAAACAAACCCCATCCCACTTTCCTTGTCTTTCCAAATAAATCTAAAACAATTTTTCTTTTCTCCGTTTCGCAAAACTTTCTTCACTTACGACATCGCATTAATTCTCTTCTTTCCCGCCATAGAAATAAAGGAGTGGTATACAAGAGAAACACATGGCTTTGGTCAACCATTAAACTTTTCTTTTAGAATTCTTTCAGCGGCTTCGTTTGGCGTCACGAAAAATGGACGCCCTCTGATAGTGGGTACCAACGGAGTGTTCACTGCCGCCGCCCAGTTACGTTGCAGCTGCAGTGTTGGCCTGTAATGTTTCATTGCGCTGCTGTCAGTACAGCGCATCTAAACACCTTCAACACTACTTTGACCAGCGGAGGTGGCCTAGACAGATACGTGCAACTGAACAGGGTATATACCCGATAAAAATCGACAGCAATCAAGGGATTTTTATCGATTGATAAGGGAAATCGATGAAAATCGATAAACTAAAGTCTGTGTCAAATCGATATTATCGATTTTTCACGATTTTAACGATTTGTAACGGAAGTCCGCAATTGTTGTTTTTTGGCGTCATGAGTTAGATAGGACAGTGGATAGTACAGCTGAGAAAACACATCCATGAGTAACAACTGATCAGCAAACACGAAAAAGAGAAATATGGTAACTATTGCACACGGAAATTTTTGCTCTAAAACGCTTTGTTTTGTACATAACAAAAAAGGTTCAGTTACATTCACTTCTCTCTCGCAAGCATTTATCACGAGGAATACAACCGTTAGATCAAGATTTCCTAGTCTAAATTTCACACATTCCTTCGAGTTGGGATTCAGGCTAATCCCTCGATAGATTTCACCGTTTTCCGTTATCAATCGATAAAAATCACTTGATTGCTGACGATTTTTTATCAATAAGGATTTTTATCTATTGACTACTCCGGGATGTAACTACACCTCCATCGACCCGAACTACACCGAAGTTATTTTGAAAGGGTGGGAGATCTAAATCCTGAAAACCTGGCCGCCTATAAGCCTGCAACCAGTTGTTCAAACGTTGGATAGCGTTATCCACCGGATAAATCACTGCGCTTCCAGTGGATAGTGATTTATCCGGTGGATAGCGTTATCCACCTTTCGAACAACTGGGGCCTGGCCAATATCAGCCATCACTGAAGAATTTAAACCTGGTTTTGAAGAAAAGAGAAGTTTTTTTTAAACATTTATTTGAAAGTGATAATGTTTGATAAACAGTACAATGATAAATGTTTGATCCTTCGACTCTCAATTTCAACTCAATTCTCAATAAATTTACTGTTTGCATGAAGTCAGTTTTCATTTTTTGATGAACAGGGCCGGGTTGTTCAAAGCTGGGTTAAGATAACCCAGGGTTAGTGCGAAATTTGAAATCAGATTTGAAAGCTTAAAAAGTAAATTCATTTTTATTCTTTCTGTCAACAGGTTGATGATTGGATACTCTTAAGAATAACAGAGAAAATTATCCGAGAAAATGCTTTTGAACAAAGAAAAAGAAAGCCGGGTTAAATTTAACCCTGGGTTAAGCGCTAATCGGCCTCCGAACAACTGGGCCCAGATGGATAGATGTATCTTCCGATATGAAATCGATGAAATCGGTAAAAATCAAGATAAATCGATAAAAAAAACGAGTGTGTTATCGATTTCTACCGATTGATCGATACAATGGATATCAATCAAATCACATTTACCGATTTTTATCGATTTATCGATTGACAAATCGATATAGATTTTTATCGATTGACTACTTAGGGGGTATACATGGTTTTCAGGGTATTGAGGCTTAAACAGGAGATGCAATTTCGCTATTTAGCATCTTGAACAAGGTTTCTGGTATACAATTTCTTTATTTGGCATCTTAAACAGGCTGCGTTTTTGGATTGGTAGCCTAGAGTGTGAAGTTATCATTCAGGTCATAAAACTACAGAGCGAAAACGAACCATGTGCTAGTCCTCCATCTTTAATGCAACGCGAATGTGCAAAATACAAGGACCCGGGAACCTAATATATTACACTGCAGATGAGCGGTCAACATTTGTGGCATCTTCAATTTTCAAAATTGACATTAAGGTTTTTCCCTGATGGACCATGACAAATATAATCACGTACAAAGGGGATGTGTTTTTTTCGCGAGAAAAGGTAATGTCATCGTGACCAAAAATGAACTGGTCTGTAGAAACGCCGTGACGTGATATTTAATGGAAGTGTGAGAGTTGCTCCTTTGGGTTTTAGCTTTTTAACTCGCTTTCATTCGTGTAAATCGGTCGACATTTTCTCGCCGGATACGGGATAGCCTGCGTACAGGCGTTAGAATGGGATCAGAGTCACGATCCTCCTTTCTTCCCCCCTCCCTCCCCCACCCCTTTCGTCGCCTGCCACAATGATGCTACGCATAAGTAGCCAGGAGACCCCTATATTAAGAACATGGGGTTGCTCGTCCTTCCCCTTTGGAATTTCAATGTCAAACTTTGGTCTCTCTTAGCTTAGCTTTAACTAAAATTCCAGAGGACTCAGAAAAGGGGTACTTGAAAATTTTTACACTAGACAGGTGCTAATTTTGTTCAGCTCTTGTAAAGGGCTTTTTCTTATCAGTCTCCACGTCAAACATTTTGTGGAATGTTCCTCCCTGGTTTACTCATGTTATGCACACATCACACGCAGAAATAATGCTCGTTTCTCTTTATTTTCTCTTTCAATCATACACTTCTTTTTTCTCGCTACTTTCTACGTGATCTCATCATGGAAAGCAATCGTTTCTTTATTCGCTGCTCATCTTATTTTCGACCCAGGTCTTAAGATATCGCACTTTGGCATAGACGCCATATTTTCCTGCCACAGCGCATCCATAACCCCAGCTTGTAGCACCCTCAAGGTACCACTTGCCATTGAACTCGCAGACCATGGGTCCTCCACTGTCTCCCTGACACGCGTCCACTCCACCAGCGTCTAAACCAGCGCATATCATAGAATCATGAATTTGACCTGGGTAGGCATTCGAACAGCTAGCCTGGGAAACAATCGGTACCGATGCTTCCATGAGCTGGTCAGGTTGGCTTCCTCCGGACGTTAACGTACCCCAGCCTGTGATATAGCATTGCTTGCCTGACAGAAGTGGGTGATTGATATCTGGGAGGCAGACTGTTCCCACCGCATTTCCCATTGTTACTGCTGTCGTCAGTTTCAGTAGTGCAATGTCGTGTGCTAGTCCTAGAGGACTATTGTAGCTTTCGTGCATGATGATCTTTTCGACCTGGTGTTCTTGGGCGGTGTCAGTTATCATGTGTGCTCCCATCCTGTGCATAGCGCGATGAGAGAAGTAATATAGTATATTATTATAATGTTTTAATAGGCCTACAAGCGGAGTTCCTATTGAAAAGAAGCGACTATTAAAAACAAGGTAACGTGAAATATGACCAAAGAATTTTAAAAGCCGAAGCATTCAACGGCAAAGTGACCAATAAAGGAAAAAAGGAAATTCAAGCCACAATCGCTGAATGCATGTTGTCATTGCAAAGGCCTGGGTTCGATTCAAGGTCAAGCTCGAATTTTTTCAGGTTCTTTTTTTCAACTGCTCAGGTTGTTCATTTGACTGCCACGATCACATCCACTTAAAAACATCTATTACATCTGTTTCGTATACATGAAAAAGAAAACAAACTTTCAAAGCCAAACACAATGAATAAGGAATCCGCTACTTTACACGGCCACATTAGTTTTTCTGTATTGCGGAAAAAACAAGTTCCAGTTGGATGGAAGTTACTAAATCTTCTTAGAAATGGTTATCTTGAACTCAGGCATGAGTGATGTATCAGTAGAAGATATTAAACAACTTTTTACAACCAGAAGCGACTGCATCTCCTGCACTAAACTTGTCATGCTATGCCCGGTTTTCAGTGTGGCACAAGATTTTTGCGGGTTCTAATTTGTGCGATTTTTCCCGGCAGTGATCCGCAAAAATAAGTTTCCGCGAATAAAAATTACCGCAAACATTTTTCACGCAAAAACTTACTCCAGAGTAAATATTCTCTAACTTAAATTCGTTACGCAAAAAAACAATGCTAAGAAATGGTGTCTGTTCAATTACAACTTGTCTTCTTCGTTCAGAAACAAATCGGTATACAATGAAATACTGGTTCTACGGTAGTATTGTTTGGAAATATGTATTTCTATTGCACGTACTCAATAAAAACGAAAATATTATCAATGCTGGGTACTGGGTACTTTGTGAAAATCGCAAAAATTAATTCCCAGTAAGAAAAACCAATCTGTCCCCATTACAAAAATTAGTTCCCGCAAAACACAAAAAATCACCAATCCGCAAAAATAAACTCCCACAAAAATTTCATGCAACACAGTATTTTTGGCTTATTTGGAGGTTCGGTTCAGGTCATATCACATGGCTGGGATGCATATGTTCGTGTCAGCACTGTTATACATGAAAAAGAAAAAGTCAACCAAATTTTATTCTCTCCACAAAAGTGTTATTAACCGGTCGGAAAGTTTGCGTTTGTTCAAGAGAGAATAAGGGGAATATTCTTTCTTGGTTTGGTCCGTGAACCCCGTATGGTATTAGGTGAAGCTAATCAGCTGGCTAATCGGGTTATATAGATATGGACTTGGATTTGAACTTTCCTGGCTTTCGTACAAATAGCCAGTCTCCTGAATCGTGCAACTGACAGAACAACGGTAGAAATGCATATCACAAACCTGACCACAATCTGGCTTGCGCTTGCGCTTGTCACACAATGGGAAGCAGTCAAGACCCATCGATCAGCAATAAGGGAACCCCCACAAAACTGGCTTCCTCCTGGCTGGGCTAACATAGCCTGCCATGGCCACTCGCCTTGCTGGGCCTGGATACCACCTACGATACGTGAGCCCGCAGGCTTGTTGCCACAACTTCCTCCTAACGATGAAAAAGAAGTAGACTTAGTAGAGCGTCAAAGTGACCTTATTGGTTTACCAGGTTGAACCTGTATGAGTTTAGATGTTTACTTTTTCTTAGGTGATAACAATATTTCCCGGCAATAATAAGCTGACATAGCCAAACAAAAAAAATGGGAAATTCAAAACAAAAAATTCAAAAGCTTAGTTTGGAGATGGTGTTAACGAGGTTCTGCTGCTGCCGTCAGTATGGAGCGGAGGTGTGACGTCACGTTACCATGGTAGCTAAATTAAGAAAATTATGGGCCAGCTTTTGTGCTCCTGAGTGCAATCATCCACAGAAAAGTCATACATGTCAACTTTTTCGTTTTTTCTGCCATAATTACAGGACCACGGGTTTGTTAAGATCCAGAAATGTTGCTACTATGGCAACGTGACACAGAGACCTCCCTATCGCTTCACAGAGCAATTTACGTTATATAATTACATGGTTAGTTCCTACCAAGGGTTTTGTATTGTTATCATCTTACCTGAGGGTGGTGAAGCTGTTGTCAAAGCGGGGAGAGTATAAGCTGGTGTGTCAGGGGTAGGAACAGCTGTTGTGACAGGAGTATCTAGTCGTAAAATAAATATAAAAGAGGAGGTCAGTTCGCTGACTTATACAAAGAAGTGTTTTCATAGAAGGCAAGTAAATACAAATACAAAAAAATCACCATAAAGTTATTAACAATTATTCCTCGTGCCCGAATGGGCTATTGACTCAGGGGCCATGAGGGCGAGAGGAATAATTGTTTTAGTAAAATCCAACTAGTTGTTCAAAAATATCGAGAATAAAAAAGGTTTAGCTAGTTAAAGCTAGATTTTAATCCTTTTTTGCCGCCAAAAAGCCCGCGCTTTTCGCTACTAGTGGGCTATAACATATAGTCTAGTAGTAGCTCAATCAGAACGCAGCATTGATAATAGACCACTATTTGGATTTTACAAACTGTCACCAATATTTGTTTAATTTCTTTTTCATGACATTTAAGGAGCATTTTGTCAAATTTTGTGTATGGGTTAAGGTAATAAATGACGACGTTAGCAAGGAATTGACCTAAAACAGCACTGGGGCTTGGATTTGTTTCAAGCCGAAGCCTATTGCTCCTCTTATGCATGAGTAAGTTCGAAGAAACGACCGCTTGAAGGCGGGAGTATCCTGGAGGGTCCGAGAGCATGCTCCCCGGACGTTTGCTGAAATTCAGCAAATTTTATCGCGTCAGGGCAGTAACAGGAAAGCTAGGAAAAAGGAAAAAGATCGCGATGTATTTACCAGTTATTTATCACTTGTGTATAGATATTTACTGCTTAACTTTACGGTTACACCGCCCTTGATGAGTCCAGTTTTGATTGTGTCGCAATTGTGTTAATTCATGATGCGTCATTCTAATATTGCGAGGTTTCTGGCCAAGGTTTTAAAATTTTTGTAAGTTAGATGACCCTCAGGCTGTCGTGTTCTTTCAGCGCATTTAGAGGGTGTAAGCAACAAATTAAGTCGGTGTTATGGACGCTTGATCATTTCTAAAACAGCCTACATCCTGCCTCGTACCCAGGCGTCTCTCTATCGTTGAAAATGTGTGAGCAAAGGAAGGCGGGAAGGAGTAAACGGGCGAGACTCTCTTCTTTCTGCTTCCCATGGTTCATTTCGCTTCGTCACCAGTCGCTCGTTTTTCGCCCTCCCCTCTATGCGAAATAGAAAGTGCCTGAGGAGTTGAAAGGCCTATATAAACTGGCCCTCTCATAATGGGAAATGTATACATTTCTATCGCAACGTTACCTAAACAGTTGCCCCATTGTCCGTCTCTCTCATAGTTAGCAGTCAAACTGCACCAGTCTTGAAACCATCCATGAGTTGTACACGAGTAAAACCAATATCCGTCAAAGTAAAAAGGAAATTGACAACAGCCTCCTTCCTCTGTCTTTTGAGTATTGCAAACTTAAGAAAAAAAAAGAGAAACGAGTTTAAATATCTGTACTTAAAAGCCAGCTGAAAAACAAAATTGATTTTACATCCTAAAAACACCAGCGTTTCTTATTGAAAATAAAGGTGTAAGCAAGTCGGAACAACTAGTTAGTGCTGAGCTGAGTTGTCATTAATAAGCCGAACGGACTTCACAAGTGGGCATGAGTGATGTAAAACAGTCAGTCCATCGTATATTAGTTTGAACAAAACAAGTCCTGGTAAATGATCAGGATTCAAGGAAAAAAAGCATAAAAGTAAATACCAGGGTTTGCAATAGTGTACGACAATGAGCACAGGAACAAAAGTACCACGGGTTTCATCTTGCTTATGCGGACGTCGACAAAATGCAACGAGAAAGAGATGTCTTCTAGTTTTATGTAGTACGAGCAATTAACTGGTTAGAATAATGTATACTTACCGTATTTGAAAAACACTTAAAAAACTATTAGTGCGGGTTTTATGAACAAGCAATGTTAATACTTTCAAGTCTGTTATAATAGGTAATGAGCTGTCAGCACGTTTGCTCCCAGAAACTTAAAAAAAAATTTTGAATGTTTTAATTCACGAGTACAACCCCCCCCCCACCCCCGCGCCTGAAAAAAAAAATAGAAGGAGAAATCATGTACTAAGACTATCCTTTTCGCTAAATGTGTTCCTTTCAGGGATGATTCGCCATCCAAATATACATTTCTAGTAAGCACAGGGATCTCTTGGGAGTTCAAGTTAATAAAAAGGTAACAAAGAGAACTTGAACATGCCTTTCAAAATTTCAGTATCGAACGAACTTCAAAGTTTATTTATTCAAGTATTTCAAGTGTTTACTCAAACAAAGAGGTTCCTTGATAAGAAGTTCAAAGGCGGGTTTTTAGTTATTTATCATTACGTTAATTCCAAGGGTGTAGGCTAAAGTTGCAATTTTTTTTGTAGTATTAAAAAGGGTATCATTTTCTATGAAATTCTCATGTAGAATAATCTTGTCTGTCATGCTACGAACGCATTACAGTGTTTGTAAGGGAGCGCTCTGAGCCCAACCCCCCCCCCCCCCCCCAAAAAAAAAAAAAAAAAAAACACCCCCCACCCCCACCAAATAATTCCTTGGTCTTCATTTCAAATTAAAAAAAGTTAAATAACTTTTTGATAAAAAAAAGACTGAGAAAAAAATAAAAACTTTTATTTTATGAACTACTTTTTATAATAACGAAAAAAACAATAATACTTTTTTTGTCTGGGCGACATGTAGACTATGAAGTGTTGTATTATTCTATGAAATTCTCCTGTTAAATAAACACTTTCGGTCTTTCTACAAGGGCATATAGTGTTTTGAAGGGAGCGCTCTGGGCCCAACCCCCCCCCCCCCCCCAAAAAAAAAAAAAAAAAAAAATCGGCCCGCCTTGACCAGCATTAAACTTTCCTGGTGACTCAGTGTAAACTGAACATGCGTATAACACTTTTTAGAGCCAAATGACGATGATTAAACATGTAAAGTGTTTACTGCGAAGCAGCTATTTAAATCACAGGATACACCGGAAAATTTTCTTGTGAATAATTTTAATGCTTGTTTCCCCTCTTTGTTTACCATTTTTATAGGATGAATGTATACTTAATGTGAAAATATCTTTTCATTGAAGCAGCTATTTACATGCTTAGCAATTTAGAATTTTTTTCCATAGATAAATAATCATTTTTTTTTCAACTTACCTATGCTTGATTTCGCAAATTTTTGCTGAACTTGGAGGTTGTTTTATCACAACTTAAAAGATACTAAAAGAATTCAGCTGAAGTTTGGCTGACTTTATTCCTTCACATTTTTTTTGCTAAGTAGCCAGTAACACTTTTTTAATTTTAGATGAATAATATTGTTTCTGTTGTGTAACTGGTCGGCCTCGCTAAGCTATTTCTTTGTATTTTTCTCTTTGTTTACTTTTTTTAGCAGTACCATTTAAACACAGTATTAACCGTAAAACAGGAGCACAACGTTCTGCAACGTCCTGACACAATTGAGACAACAAAACCCCCCAAAATCTATTTACAGATTTAGTAGTTGGGTTTGCTGCGTTTATAGCCACATTCTCACCCGGGTTTCTCACGAGTTAAGTAAAGTGCCTTGTGATCCGTAATAACTGTTGACAGAGTTTAAAAAATAGAATTGTGCAATAAGTCAGTCTGTGACCGCACCAGCCCAATCGGGGCGCTTTCTGACGATAAATCGCAATTTTATTTCAGGTTTACCTCCTCGCTATTCGGATTATGGCAGCAGTCATAAGTAATACCAGTTACCATTATGAATGTCTCAAGTGTACAATACAAATCGCTCGTTTCCTTCGGTTAATTTCTCTTTCGACCTCGCCAAGTAAGCCGTATCTTATAATATATAATTATACACTCCTACACCTGTACACATATTTCTTACATCTTCCAATATATAATGGACTTCTCAATGACCAACCCTGAGTGGTATGCTTATTTCTAGTGAAAAAATGCAAAACGGATTTGACCCTGATTGACACATAAGCCAAGCTCATTAATATTTTAAAGCATGCAATACTTCAATTTTAGTACGATTTCAAAGGGAATTTGTTCTCAGGAACTACGAATTGGAGAAATAATAATGATAATGATCCGAAGGTTTATCAAGTAAACCCTAAGCTTCGAGGAACCTTAAGAGGCTTAACAGTTGATACGTTCACCTGTTCAAAATTATAAACCGGATAACTATGATTACGGGTTCAGGAGTTGTTTTAGCTGATTAGACGTAAAAAAACTACACTGTAGTTTATTCGATTCGAGCAACAGATAAGTATAAACGTCGAAAATTTACCTTAAAATGTTTGTTATATCAGTGGTGAAAAAGATTAAAAATGCAAAACAAATTTGGAATGAGTTAGACTTGTATTGTAGATAAATTTTTTGGTCATAATGTTTCCAACTTCTCCGGCAGAAACTGTCCAAAATGTGACGAAATATTGTATTTCCCAAGGCCACCTCACCCAATTGACCACCACAGGCTAAGTAAGGAATGACGGACAGTAAGGAGTTGGGCTTCCTGTTGTCGACAGCTGAGAGATTTAAGATGCCCTGGGACGAGAATAAAGATAACAGAGATTCCAAAGACGTGTCAACGGACTTTACTTTTGAAATATTTAACGCTTTAAAAAAGAAAACACCGAACGCTTCAAGAATAAGGGACAGCAGTAAATCGATCCCCGCTGCGAAGAGACGAGGGAAAAGGAAAATAACATATATTTAGGTTGCTGGTAGGGCCCCATATCTCGATAACAAGAATCGTGGTGTGTTCGGTCGCATGATATGATACATGTCTTGATGAAATAGCTTTTTAATGGGAATATCAAGCAGATGACACTAGCTCATCCTGCAAGCAGATGGTCCTGTCTTCCGGTGTGAGGAGGAGATCAGACAAGGAACACTGTAAAGGAGCCTCTACTGATGACCATTAATAGAAAGCTATCTGCATGGACAGCTCAGCAACAAGGCGTTGTACAATATGAATATTGTAAATGATCGCTTTTTAAACAGCCTAGCCGCCCTTTTTTGCATCACAAACGATTGTTTTACTCTCCTTTAACTTATGTGTTACTTTTTCAGATGCTGGCAGAGTTAGAAACAAAAGATGATTTACCATCTCAGTTTTAGTATTCGAGTGTTGGAACCCTTCTTAAACAGATACTCTTACATAGACGATTTGGTCGGGTGGTTTCTCGAATAAGTTCGATCTGATTTTGTTGCCTAAAGCAGGTGGGAACAGCGAATCTCTATGATCGTGGTTTGCGACTTACTATACCCCTTTATGTAGGCATCACCCGAAAGACAGTTAAGAGAAGGGATAGAAGAGAGTGAGACTGAACAGTTTTCTTTTCCTCTTACAAGTTTTAATAACTTAAGCGTGAAGGAGTCCAACAAAACCTTGTCTCGAGCCCTGTTAAGTTTGGCGAAGAACATCGGGGTCGACCAGAATTTTTATGGCTGGTTCTTGTTGTGTGGCTGGGACAGCCATATTAACCATGCAAACTTTTGAGTATTTTTGGTCTAGAAAAATAGAGAAATTTTTATGGCAAAAGGGTCCAAAAGGCATGCAAACGTGAAATTGTACCAAGTGACCACGTTTCTCCTTAACTTGTGCTTTACTGTTCATTATTTCGAACCCAAAATTTAGAAGCTTCAAGTTAGTTTCATCAAAGTTTCATCTATATCAATAAATTATTTTTTATTGTTTTTAGCTGCTCGTTTTCTATTTTAAGAAATTGTAAACTTGAATCTGGCGTTTGCCGTAAACGTTTCTCTAAATCTCTTTGGACTGGGTAATTTGTTAGGGCTGAATTTGAAGTACACTCTGCGTATTGTTAATAAACGTTTACACAGTTCAAATGCCAGCTGCCTGAAGTAGAAAAGCAAAAAGTACACACACAGGCAATGTAAACACACTTAAGGAGTAAGCCGTACAAAAATAGTAGCTTGTTAACATTTGTAAAAGCAGCTATTTAAATTTTTATCCATTAGAGTAAAAAGCATTTTTAGCAACATTTGCACTGCTCAAACTGAAAAAAAAAAACAACCATTAGGTCTGCCAAGTGTTTGTATACTGAATGCATGGCTACATGAGAGGGACTTTAATTAGTAAACAAAGAAAGTATTAACTTTCTGTAACTTATTATTTTAGAGTCCCGACTATTTAACCGACCCGGCCTCGGTGTTTTCAAATTTAGAATCAAAATCTATAAAATGGTACTATAGCCTTAACACCAGCCCGACGAATTTCCCAGTCTGGCTTCTATTTAGAACTTTATTGCTTGGTTGCGTTAAATGTACACGCTGCAAAGTTCCGAGTTCGAACGATTACCCATCTGGATTTTCGCGAATTCGATATTACCTTGGACATTGACAACTGAGTTGCTTCATCGTAAAGTTCATAGTATTTGCATAGATTATAGTGTGTTACTTGTCTTTTGGTGTGAGTTAGGGTTAGAGTTGGGGTTAGGTCAGGTTATGAGTCCCAGGCCTGAGTAAAAACCAGTAGCACACATCTTTAGCGTCACCTCAATCTATGTCTATTCTTTTCCTTGAAACTTAGCCTAATGAGTTAAACTTTGTCTAACTCTTAAAATGACAAAGACTTTATATCTTGAGCACTGCAAGTTGTTTCTAATGAAATTAAATTAACTTGCAGAAATTCTGCAGAAAAAAAAAAGGCTGGCTGCCGTTGAACAATTTCAGTTCGATGTCGTAAGATTTAGAGGGGAGGAGAAAATAGTTCGAATTATTATTTGATTTATAATATACAATTTTCTTCCTTTTCACTGGCCGAGAGCCCACCACGTGACCTGCAAATAACTGCCTACAAATAACGGTCTGCTCCTGCGCAGTCTGGTCCAACTGTGTTTGGCCACAAATAATCTTCCGCTCATGCATAAACGAAACCACGCTTTTCTCCCTCTTGCGCTTGCTCTTGCGTGTGAAAAATGACAGATCGCTTCGCTTCCCGAAGATATTCATTAAAAAAACAAACTTGGTGATTGTTAATTAGCGGGAGCACGAAATGACCAGCTCAACATAAAATACCACCAAATATGTACTGGTAGGTCGTTATTTACCAAGACAACTAAAAAACCTTGGGATAAGGATGCAGATTGTGTGATACAACATCTTGTCAGGAGTTCGTTTTGGACCTTCGTGTCCGGAAGTTTTGTCATGACTTCAAAACGGTCGCGTATGAATTCAAATTCGGCTAGCTGGGGATTTACATTATTATTTCAGTAAGTACAAAGAAAAAGTAAAAAGAGTTGCTTTTTCGGTGAAATAAATAGTCACGTTAAGGCTTTTCGTATACACACGCTATTCTTATAACTGAAGCCAACAGAAAACTAACAAAAAGTGAAGAAGAATAGAAATAGTGAAGAACTTTGATTAAGGAAAGGACGCTAAGTAAAGGCGGTTTGTCGCCTCTAGTCGCCCGTCTGAAATAGATGATGTCCGCGTAATAGAAAAGACAGAGAAAACAATTAGAAAACGGTAGGGGCCAGCTTAGCCCGCTTCGTAGACGTAATTTAACATCGGTTAGTAACAGACTTAACCGGAGTTTAGTTTCCTCTGAGGCGCAGTCTTGGACCAACTGTGAATGTCCGTTTTCATGACTTCATAACTTTATACAAATTTAAAATCTGAAACAGTCCAAAGGCCATATCATCTATATTTACTGATAGGACACTTCGAAAAGAAGATGAGAATGAAAACAAAAATAATAATGAGCAAAATTTTGTTCAAAACGACACTTCTGGTACAGGGAAACTAGTCATAACTTTTTAGTTTACGAATTGCGCCATAATGATAAAACACACAGTACTAGTCTTTCTGGAAAAACGGAGAGTCGTATAGTGTGTCTTTGAACTCAGTTAATTTCAGCCCTCTAAATAACAGTTATTAAAAACTGAATCATTGGATAATGCAATTCTAGTGCTCTGATTGGCTTAGCCATCATGGTATATGACCCATTATACCAGGGTCTCCAAATATGATAACTGTACGCCTCTGCTCAAAATTAAAAACAAGCTGAAAATCGGTTGTTTTTACAAATAAAGTCGGGAAGAATTTTTGATATTTTGTGGGCATTTTTAAGAGAACAGTTGTTCGCGCTTGTTGGATATGAGATGATTATAGCCAACGTCGGCGCTACGCGCCTGGCGGGGCTATCTACCATCTCATATCCAACGCGCACTTGTGGAATAATTGTTAATTATTTATAACTTGAACTAACTAAATAAAAGATTTATGGCCCGTTTAAATGGAAAAACCTGTCCCGGGTAGAAGGGTCACCCCTTCAAGCCGACCAAGCCAACTTTATCGAGCGTTTATATGAGAAAAAGTTGATCGCTTTACCAGCAGAGCCATGCTCTGATTAGAGAGCTTAAGCAACTACGACGACGACCACAACAACAGCTCTGCACGTGCATCATGCTTTTTAGTACATTTCTTTGACGTCCACTGCACGACTACGACGTCAAACCTCCTAATTCGACGCTTTATGGAGGACGTGGACATTCGACGACGAATTTTCCTTCCTCTTTTTGAACCTGGAAGAAATCCTTAAGAATTCAACTCCAGGAAAAGTCGTCTGCATTTTACATATCGAGCGGGTCCAAATATACGCGATTAAGTTTCGATTAAGTCGTTGTCCTTGCTTAAGGTCCCTAGCCTTGACCGAGTTGAGCTGGCTGTTATTAAGTAAAGTTAGTTTTTTGGGTGAATTTGTGTTTAGCCCCGGGGGGTACTCGACCAATAATTGGGTATAGGTGATCTGAGCGGCTGAGGGTTTGATACCCTGATCCTGTTTAGGACAGAAAAATCCTACAATACATACCCTGTTTAGGACAACACCCTCAATTTTATTACCCTGTTTAGGACAAAAATGCACGCCGTCTTCTTTTAAAGCCATTTATTGGCAATTGCAATAGGGCACATTCACGTTATAGTCATTGCTTTTGTATAGTTGGAGAACAAACCAATTTTTTGAAGAAATCAAAACATATACCCTTTTTAGGACAGGCTTGCGCGAAATTATATACCCTGTTAAGGTCAAAGAGACCAAAACCCGCACCCTGTCCAGCGGCACATCCTCATATAGTCCATATGAGGGAGTACACCCGCGGGAATTTAGTAAAGATAACTCGTCAAACCATAGTTCCATTCATTCTTGAAGCTTTATATATTACAATTTTTATATGTGCTGTACGCTACATTGTATAAAGCTCTATACAGATTGTTTTAAGACTTATTAATAATGTCAGTCCCACAAATCTAAAATTTTAGCGCGAACCTCACATATCAGCAGAACGGGCATTTAGTATAAGAAAACAATCGGTTATACTTGGAGCAATGCGTTGGTGAACATTCAATGTAAATTAATTTATTTTATGTTGTTAATAGATTTTAAATTGTCTCCGAAATCAATTAAAATAGTTTCCAATAAATCCCTTTTATAATTTCAGCACCTCATTCACCGTAGTTAAAAACGTTCTATATTTTTGACGTGGTAATATATTAATTCTCAATTCTCAATTCTTTCTCAATACTCTATTTTTTACACTATCTTAATAGGACATTTAAAAAGGTTATATTACAAACAAAGCATTTCAGCAATAACAAGGCTGATTACATTAATTCTGACAGGTTTCTTTCAAAAAGATACAAATGCTCTTGTATAAGTTTATTCTTATTTTGAGGTTTAAATTGACTTAATTGAGTCATCTGGTCAGCTGGTTTTCCGTTTTGGTAATCAGTTAGTTTTATGCTCAGTTGTTTTAACAATGTTCTCATTTGCCCTGACCCAGCCAATTAACCTTATTTAAATAAGATAAAAAGTTGCCATTAAAAAACAGCACGTGTTTCATTACAACTGATATTTTCCGTTTTTAAAATTACTCCCTTTTGTTACTGAAATTAAATAAGCCCTAAGAAGTGCCAACAATGTGTGTAAAAGGTCGTGTGTTCTGTTGATTAACACGGTATAAATGTGATGATGTTGTCACACCTAGTGCACTGAACTCAAAATGGGTATCAAAATGTTGCTGGTTGTTCTACTCTGCATGACACAGGCAGCGTTGAACGCTGGTAAGAATGCGGGTAATACTGATTATACTAATTATTCTATATGTCTACCTCGATCACCTGCTTTTAATGCTTATTTAGATTCTCGAGGGTGCCTCGAAGAAATATTTAAGAGAGTGGGGAAAGATTTCATTTTTTAAGAAATGATAAAAAGTTTGTCAAGTAGATGATATCGTGAACATCATGCAAACAGTACAACAGAGGTACGTGAATCCAGCTTCAGAGACTCGTATTAATCATTGATCTTTAAGCTAAAAAAGTTAAGTAAGAATTTCTCTTGTTGGAGGCTGTATTTCAAGTATATGGCCGGCGCAAAGTAGGCCACAGTGAGGAAGGGTAAGAATTGAAATCGAGAAGCATAAATTTAGGTGACTAACCTGTATGTGACCAATGCCTTGGATGTCGTGTTCCGTCGTCCCGTACCGTCCCGTGTCCAGCGCCAAGCAGGAGCAAATGCTTTTTAGTAAAGGCGTACTAGAAACATGTTAAAAATAAAAATTTTGATTTTTGGACAGACAAAAGTGTTCGTGAATCAGGTAAATTGTTTCTAATCAAGTTATAGCCAAAACCTCAACGAAAATACAAGATCTGAAAGTAAGTGTAAAACCACGACCATGTACGAGATAACAGTCGTAGCAGCTAATGTCAAATCTTGATCATGGTTAGGTACATTTGCCACGCCGATGACAGCAACATATTTACAATAAATATAATAGTTATGTATCTACCTTTCTGGTATTTGCTGAAACGATAAAGCAATATGAATTAATGTTTTTCTTTTTCCAGCATTTTCCTGCAACTTTGACAACGGTCGTCTCTGCCAAGGAATTAAACAACTCAAAGATGATAAGTTTGACTGGACTTTAAGAAAAATCAACACTCCTTCAGGAGGCACAGGGCCTAATACTGACCACTCAGGCAAAGGTCAGTTGAAAAGCTGAGATATTTTCTAAATACGCGATTGATCTTCGATTCTGGAAGGTTTTCATAGGCATTTTCTAACCAAACATAGTTACGTCTCCTTCAATTTAAGGCACCGTTTATATGGAGAAAGGTTGACCCGAGTAGAAGCTACCCTTGGCTACCAGAGTTACCCTGGGCATGTCAACTTTTCATATATTTCGTTACAAAACATGGCAAATTGGTTACTTGAGAAAAAAAATAGGTTTGGCTCGGCTAGAAGGCTTACCGGCCTAGCTAGCCGGGTCACTCTTTTGTGACGGTAGGGTCGCCCTCCAAACCGAATTAACTTTTCTACATGTAAACACTTTGGCTCGCTCAGCCGGGTCAACTCGGTCAAGGCGAGACAATCAGAGCATGCGCGAGTGCTGTTTGCTCGGACAAAGCTGCCAACTTTGTCCTCATATAACTGCTTGCTGAAAGTTGACTCGGCTTGGAGAAAGGCCCTTCTTCCAGGGAGTGGTTTTCTTCTTATAAACGGAACCTTGGGCTCTTTTGCATTCATTTATAGGTTACTACATTTACATTGAAACATCAAGTCCTCGGCAGCCAGATGATAATGCAAGACTGGAGATCAAGCCTTCGTTGGGAAATGGTGCAACATGTATCTCATTCTATTACCACATGCTGGGTAGAGACGTGAATGAACTTAAAGTCCTTGTGAATGGCAAGCAACAGTTTTCACAAAAAGGCTCTCAGGGAAATAAGTGGAACAAAGCTGATTTCAAAGTTCAAGAGAAGGCAACATCCGTAAGATTACGTTTGACGTTAATCAACCGCGTATAGTGATATACAGTAATTTTTAAGGCCTCGTCGAACTCATTTTAATTTTTTGCTTTGCCCATATCATATAAAACAGAGATTGTAAAATTGAGTTTGTTTATTTGCTGCAACCTCAGCCCCAGAAAATGAATTTTCTAGAATTAGGTCGACTAAATTTAAAAAGATTAAAATAACAGGACTGTTCTCACTAGGGAAAACACGCACAAAAGCCTATAATTTAGCATCAATGTACTTCCTAAAATTCTCACCGTGGCCCAGGGGAATACACGGCATACCCACAGACCTTGTACCTCAGTTCTAAGAGCAGCTTGTTTGATTATTCAGCCAGTTCTAGTAAAGTTTAGGTCTCGGCACCCTCGATAGCAGTTCTTGCCCCACCCTCCTCATTGCAGCGATGGGGCACACCCCGTATTCTCTCCCGACTCGCAAGGCCTCGGGCCGATTCTCCCATATCTTTTGCATTTAGGCTCATTTGGCTTTTTCGTGCGGGTGTTCCGGGTGAGAATATATCACTAATAACCATTCAGTTATTTGATTTTGCATCGATTCTTCATCTTCTAGGAAAGAGGACAAAAAGTAACGTTTCACACAAAAAACTTACCAAATTCAATTTATTTTAAAGGGCGAACGTTTTTTTTCACGGGGATATCAGGACTTTTGAGCGAATAGTTTTCAATGACCAAAAACAACCCTGTCATAATTGACCACCGTATTTTGCAAGATGAAATGAATTGCTATAAGGACTAGGTTTTCACCGATGTTAACGCCGGATATGTTTCGTGAAAAAATAGCTTACAAAATACCTGAATGTACTGCAGCTGATACAAAATCCTATTATTGTGCAGGTTATTTTTGAGGGTATTCGTGGATCATCATGGCAAGGCGACATTGCCGTCGATGACGTCAAGATAGAAAACTGTGGGGGAGGAGGAGGAGGCGGATGTGGTATGTCACTCTCCCAGTTTGCAATGACTTGTCCCCATTCCTTTTTGATGCCCTTCTTAAATATTAGAAGACCTTTTTCCTGTCGCCTCCTTTGCTGAGATACCGCGCTGGTCTCCCGCAACCGATTCGCGACCGCGTGTAAATGATAAGAGACGACTGGGAACGAGTCAATAGCTTAGTCTAGCGAGCAGGACCGGAACCTACCAAGCCCTCATTGGTTCAATCCTTTGCAACGAGTTTTAATTGTCCTACAACAACACGTGCAGTATTTATCGTAAATTTAGGGGCCTCGGAAAACATTCCCAGGTGCCTTGACAATAAATTATCAGGTGTTAGGTAATCCAGTTCTGAACGCTTATATTATTGGCGAATGTAGTACTAAATTTTTGAGTCGCCAATCTCAGCAGAATTTACTCCATTGTTGTAGGCTTTAAACGCGTGCAGGCTTGGTAGGAGGGGATGGGAGGGGCAGAGAACATTGGAAAGGGAAACATTTTTATCATTTCTGTGTTCCTTTTACTGATAAAACCTTTTGCAGAGAAAAAAGGTGTTTCGGTCAGCCGATTTCAGGGCCATGCTCTTTGACTTAACCTGCCCATTTTCACGAAGTAAATAAATCCTTAACAACAGGATAGTAACAACCCAATGACAACTACAACAACAGCTCTCCCTGCTTCCTCATGGAATTTAATTTTTCTAGGTACTCCACCACCCCCAAATACACCAGCTCCTCCACCAGGTCAGTATTATGTTATTTTTCTTTTTTTAAAATGATAAAAAACCTTCAAAGGTGTGTAGCAGTAATAATCAAGGAAAAGCCTTTAGGAAAAAAACTGCCATGATCACTGGGAATTTGATATAAAAGAAAAGAAAATAGAGAAATGTTCAAAAAAGTAAAAAAGTTCACACATGTCAGGTTCCCATCCTTTCAGACAATGCTGGTAGATTTACTGGAAATAGTTCTGGTGTATCGAATTTATTAGCCCAAGGAAATCTATATACCACTTTTATGAATTAGACATTCAAAGCTAATAACCTAACAGAAAGGAGTTGCTTCCTACAGAAAACCAAATTATTATTGCGTATTAAATAAATATCCAGCTAGTGGACGAGGAAAAATCGTGCATTGCAGGACGCTACCGACCCCATTCTTGTTCCGTAATCAAAGCAATAGGGGTGGAGTGACTGGATCCCCAATTCTGTGTCCCATTCCTCCTCTCATCTCCCCCCAAAACTCTGTGCTTACCCTCTTTTTGGCATGTGCTAGGTTCCTGTGGTATTCGCCCATCCACTCGAATAGTTGGAGGCGTGGCTGCTAAACATGGAGATTGGCCTTGGCAAGCGATGTTAAGAACCAGTTCTGGGTTCCCGTACTGTGGTGGCACACTCGTATCTCCTCAGTGGGTGGTCTCTGCAGCTCACTGCGTCAGAGGAAAGCAGCCGAGCTCAGTATTTATCCGGTATCTACTATCCTCTTTTTGATCAATTTCATTCTTGAAGAAGCTCTGTATAAACACAGATGTAGGAGCATCAAGCTTAGCTGTATCCTATACAGCAGTATGACTGATACTTTAGCGGTCAAACTCACACTCCAGCCGCCCATGGGGCCCATATCTCAAAAGTCCCGATAATTGACGGGCCTGGGAGAAAGCTTGTTTACATTAAAGATGGAGATTTCAATAGTTTGGAGGATAACATGATAACATTATTAGTTAACAAAACAAAATAGGCTGGTTTGTTAGCTAACTCCTGCTCGGCGCTTTTATTCTTTAGGCTTTGTTTTGAATGTTTGATTTCGGTACCAAAAAGTTACCTGGACTTTCGAGAAACGGGCCATGGTTCGAATCTCGCCCTAATCACTAGCTGGACTTCTTTCTTGGTAGTCCTTTTATAGTGATATTGTTTATTTTGCTGTATTAGATTGCCAAAGGAAAGCCTAGGGTTTTGTATAGACAAAGAAAAATACTAAATGCAAATAGCTCAGCTAAGGTTAGTCAGTGGCTAGTTTAGATAACAACAAAGAATCGTATTGGTTAAAAAATCACCAACTGACCCGAGTTAGTTGGCTGTTAAATAAATTATCATAATTCACAAGCTTTACAAGAAATTTCTTTCAAAATTCTCACTTAAGTGTTCCACAGACACTGGACAACCTCGCATCACAAAATAGAATGGGCCCTTTGCAGAATATGGTCACATGATGCAAAAAACACTTTGCTGGATGGCAAACGACGCGGAGGCACCTTGAAAGAAATGATACGGGCTTTTTGAATGATGTCTCTTTGTTTTCCTTGCCCCTCTGCGCCGTTTGCCATCCCCGGCAGCAAGGTGTTTTTTGCACCATGTGACCGTATTCTGCAAAGGGCCCATAGCCTGCGTAGTAGTGGTTTCGGAGCAAAGAAAGACCGAGTGACGGGATTTCCTAAAAATCTAAAGGTTTTGGCCGCGTGAGAAATGGAACGAGAGTCAGAAAATGAAAACCGTACGGAAACGCTTGCCACGCAGGCTAAAGGGCCCATAGCGTCAGAAACTCCTTATGTAGGTGGGTGGGTAACAAATGATGAAAATGAGACCTTTTTTTGCAGGCTTGGTGCTCATAAGAGAACGTCAGACATCGGAAACGAACAAGATCTTAGGGTCAGCAAAATCATTTCCCATCCATCATACCACAAACCCTTAAGTTACAGCCATGACATCACCCTCTTGAAACTGGAAAAACCTGCTCAGCTAAACAAGTACGGTTATTTACCTCTCATTTCAGTCTTACTAAAAATGGTTTATTATTTTAACTTCCCACCCAGTTTTGCTGTAGTTTTTTAAGTTCTTCTTGAGTAATTCTCCATGAAGTCTAACTTTTGATAAAAAGATTTTTCTCTTTCAGAATATAACATTTAATTAGTCGCGCGCTTACTTACCTACTTACCACTGAGTTTCCAGTGGCTAAGTGGTTAGTGCATCCGACTACTAACAGAGTGCGGAGGTCGAGGATCATAGGTTCGAATCCCCTTTGGAACTCAAAATTGTTTTTCTGTTTCTTGTGGTGGCTGTTTCTTGGTGTTGTGGAAACCATTGTTGGTTTGCTTTTGTGTTGTAGTGTGAGTACTGTTCAGTGTATTTCCAATGTTTTGTATTACGTCATTTCAGCATCTATCCCCAACAGTAAGAAACTACCCTTGTGGTTGGATCTTGAGCCCCGTGCAAACGGACGCATCATTGTTGGCTAACATAACTACCAACATTGTTGGATGTTACATGTTGTGTCCGTTTGCACTCCCTGTTGCATGTCGTTGTGTGTTGTTGGGAGTTGTTGTTGTGCAAAGTTAGAAACCGGTCCAACTTTTACTAGGCTTTGTGCAAACGGACACAACAACCCCCAACAATGTTGGGAGTTGTTAGCCAACAATGTTGGGTCCGTTTGAATGGGGCTTTATCTCGGGATTTTAAATCACTCATTTGAATTTGTATTTGCTGCTTCTCAAAATCTTTTCCAGGTACGTGAATCTTGCTTGTCTTCCTCATCAAGTTAACGCACCAACAGATGGGAAGCATTGTTGGATTACAGGTTGGGGTAGACTTTCATCGGGCGGAGCCACCCCCGAACTATTACAGCAAGTATCTGTTCCAATAGTAAGCCGTGCTCGCTGTGACAAAGCGTATCCAAATAAGATCCACGACTCCATGATCTGCGCAGGTCTAGATCAAGGAGGTATTGATTCCTGTCAGGGGGATAGTGGAGGACCGATGGTGTGAGAAACTGGCGGGCGATACTATCTTCACGGGGCCACAAGCTGGGGATATGGGTGTGCTGCTAAAGGCAAATTTGGTGTCTATGCCAAAGTAAAATATTTGATGTCTTGGATCACGAATGAAATGAAAAAGAATTAATGTAGAAGCTGCTGGATCATGAGGATCAATCTTTTTTGGGGGAATAAACGAAATAAATGATTATGTAATAGTATTCTATTGTGAAGTAATCACCAATAAATGAGTGGGGCAGATATGCATTGAAACTTATTCGTTATACGTTGTTTCCTTCTTGTTTCTCTTCTTTTAAGTAAGCACATGTGAAAAATCGCAATAATAGTTGCTTCACGAACGCCAGCAGTGAGCCAATGCAAGCAACGCTCATTTGACCATCCAACGAAGGTAGATACGTTGCCATAAAAACTACAATAAGTGATAGCGTAGCCCTTTTAAATATATTGGAGGTTTTAAAGGTGAAATTATATCGAATGTTCTTTAAAATTAGGCTTTGACAGAGCACGTCGAGGCTTCCGTCTGCCTGTTCCGCGAATGATACATTTGAAGTTTCGACCGTAGCATATTAACGCGCGTTTGATATACGGCTTAACAATTGAGTATTGAATTCGACTTTCGTATGTTACGAAGAATTATGAAAGTATCGAGGAGGATGTTATACACCGACTGCCGAACCTGCATAATTTTTTATACAACGAAACCCGAATTCAATAATTTTCTTTCTCATTTAAGTTCGTAACAACCTTGCATCCGCGCAGACTTTCTTCAAAATATTTGCCCGTTTCTCGGCACAGTCAGAGAATGAACTGTTGTTTTTTCCTTGCACTTTTAAAATCCTAAAAAACAGTGTTGTAATGATATCCATCATGCCGAGCAATATTACTGATTTGCGTATGATTGCCTTTTTTTTTAGTTTTAGTTAGTATTTCGTCTTCGATAACCTTCAACTATTTTACCCTTTCGTTGAGTTCATTCTTTCCAAAACGGCTAAGCTGCCGCGCTGCTGCTTGAAAAGGAGACTGCAATAGTATATTATGGCAATATATCATTATATTGCTCCCACCTTCCAAATATAGTAGGAGCAAGCACATTTTGAGGAATTAGCCGTTGAAATAGAGCTAATCAAGAACGGCCAAACATCAATTAATAATACCTGATAACTGGAAACTATTTCAGACAGCTCGGTAAAGTCAGTTTGGATAGTGCAATCGATGAAAAAGACACAAAAAGCCTGCACTACGAGTTTCCGAAGCTTTGGGATAGCTGTGATAACATCCTTTTTCTTAGAGGATTGGTTCTTTTAAACTGATAGGCGAATCTAAATTTGATGAAAAAATCTCCTATTTCGGCTACAATACTCCAAATGTTCAATTACTATGTACACAGACTTCTAAATCTCGCTGTAACTTCTCGATTGAAGCATTAGCTTCAAGACATTGTGGAGGCTAGATACTGACGGCATGTGTGCATATAATGAATAATAAACGTTATTGGATGAACCCTTTGTGATATCCTGAATAATCAAGGCGGTAGTAAGTTTTATTGGCCAATGCACTCGCTATGACAACACTTGCCTCTCCACAAAAACCTGATCAAATAATTGTTTAAAGTTTGTTTTGTACGCTGCACATGCGCAGGTCGTGACATAGCCCCTTTAAGTAGTAGCCTATGAACAAACTCCCGGGGCGAGGTGGTGGGAGGGGAAAAAGCGTTTTCTCTCCATCACGGCCCCCCCCCCCCCCCCCTAGTATCAATAACATGTAAACTCCAAAAATTATAACGTGTGTGTTATGAAGCCGACAGCCGAACAGGCTGCCTTCATTGCAGTAGTGATGCCCACAGCAGGTCGCATGACATTTGGTATAGGAAACTGTTTTTCTGTTGCATTTTTCGCTCGCCAATCTGCATTCCTCTTCGCTCCCACAGCCCCTTGTAACTTCTTTATTTCCAGTATCGAGCTCAAACCACTTTAAAATGCATCTATCGTGATGTCTGTTACAAGCGTCTCTGGTTTGGTTTCGTTGTAGTAAGCTGTGATGACAATATTCCTCTGACCCATGACACTGGTAACATTTAATAGCAAAATCTTGAACAAAAAAAGGAAAAACAATTACAAAGCAGTTCCCGATTTAGATGAGGGGGGGAGGGGGAAGGGGCACTCAGACCCTTAGATAAGGGGTGCCTGGTCTCCACAAAAAAGGGTTTTCGGCCCTTCGGGCCTCAGTTTGGTCTAAAAAGGAGGGCCCGGGCCCCTCTTCTAGATCTGCCACTGCAAAAGCTGGTTTTTGGCTGATCACGGTCACGGCGGTCAAGTTGGTCGATAAGAGCAACAGCGTTTCTCTCAGCTGGGAACTAACCTCTTTTTTCATGCAAGTTCTGACCGAAAGCGTGCGCAACAGACAGTCTCATTTCCCTACCTGAACATGACCTATTCTGGCAAAGTCTGGATTGCTGTATTTTGTTCATGGTGCAGTTGTGCCATTCACTTTCAGACTGGGTACAGTTTCGGAATCGGCTTTGTACTCCGCCGCTGCAAGTCTTAGAACAGGGCCCCCACTCTGACCAAGAGCCTTTCTGCGCTGGTGAAATAATTGGCAAATCTATTTATTATAAGTAGATATAAACAAAGCTCCCTAACTAACCCAGATTTTTAATGTACTGAGATGAATAAGTATACCGGTGACCGGTGAACAAATCAGTTTTGAGAGGAACAATGGCATGTAAGACGCGGCTCGTTTAATGTATATATGATTCGCATTGCGTCCTACTTCGTGTGAATGTTGCCAGTAGCAACGGCAATCCAGTATTGCGTGTGTTTCAAAACTGCGATCTGTCACATTAATAAGATGCTTTTTGATGCGAAAAAAATCAGGAAAACTCTCCTTTACCTTAAAACAGTGAAGAAACCCGAGAAAGGCCAGAAGAAGAAGATAGACAGACTATCGTCACCATAAAAAAGAAAAAGAAACAGAAAGAAAAAAGGACCTTTGAAAAATAAAAACAAAAGAACCAGAAAACACTGTCTGCCGCCAGCAGGAAAAATCGTACTCAGTTTTTTTGAGCTAAAATCACAGGTAACGCGTCGTATCTAAGCACGTTTGTTAGAACGTCAGACTAAATATGCCATTTATACGGGGAGTTCCCGTCCCAGTGCGTAAAACGCGCCATATTTATCTTTGTATAGACAATCAAAAAACCAACGTGACAGGGCGAGCGAGGTGTTTGTTAAGAATCATTTTCAATGGTTTTTAGCTATATTGAATGTTAAATTAGTTATATTTAAACTGTACAGTACAGTCAAGTATGACCGTATGTAATACTGAAGGCTTTCATCATAACGCTACCATTTTTTTTGGACTTAACTGGGATGCCGGCTTTACTCAAAGACCGCTACGGGAACAAAGTTAAGTAGACTGGAGCCAAACGCAATAAACCTCGTTGCCAGTTTAGTGCATAACTTTATGTAAGAGATACCCTGAATACGTGATTGGAATGCGATGTATAGATCGATCTTTGGGCGACAAAGGGTGATAAGAAACGAGGATAATTACTAACTAGGTTGCATAGCAGAACTTAATGGCCGGTGAAAACATTTGTTGAATGGTTGCCACATTACATTAATGTCCCTAGATTGACAGCCTGTAGTATCGAATGTAGGAAACATGAGTACAAACGCAGCAGTACATAGTTCCATTCCAAACTGTAAACTGAAGATTTATTTCAGGAAAACTACGAAGTCTCTTCCATCTGGCCGAATTCGCCCAAACCATTGTATCTCAGTTCAAAGTCTTCTGCTAGAGAACTTGAATATTTAAGAATTTGGCGACTATTTTAAATGCTGCAAAGAATTGCAGAGCGGTGAATGCAAGGGTGATCGTAAATGAAATGATATGAATATATGTAAAATAACGAATGACCCCGAATACTGTTTTAGTGAACCGCGATGATGATTTGGCCAAGGAACCAAAAATTAACTGTAAACAAAATCAAAATACCAAGTTACGCAAACTGAAATAGTATGGGTTGGTTGGATTAACATGAATACCCTTAAGTAGGTACTCAGCGGCGTATTTCAAATAATAAAGAAGATATCAAGTATATACTGTACTACTGATTTACTTTTGGCCTTGTAACTTATGTGAGTTATACTATTTAATTTTAACTGAGGAAAAAACTCGCAGACACATTTTCAAAGCGAAAAATCGTCAATACAAAACATGAATCAGTTACATGTCATTTTTCAACGTACTTACCATACGAAAATATGCACAACAGTCCAAATATTACGAGTTTGCCGGCAAATCTCATGATCAGGAAAAATAGTCTAAAGAAAACTTCGAACAAAACTGTAAGCATCTATGTCCACCAAGAACTTAAATCTAAAGTTTGCTGTACTTGATCGAACTTGAGCCAGCGGCTGATAACAGTCTTAGCTACGTTTGACAGATGTGGAAACGCCCATGAGTATTAAAATCAGTAATTAAAAATTCTTTCCTAAGTTCTGTTGATGGCAGCAACAGTCCAATCTATATGACTGTTACCAAAATAATTTGGAAGCTGAAATTTCCATTTTTGGCAGAAAACGATGAAGTATTTTACCTCATTTTGGAGATTGTTTTGATACTATTCAAACGAGAGAGATGTTTTGGAGGAACAAAAAGGGAGACCGATTTAACCATAACTTATTTATAATTTATCCAAAATGTAATTGGTCTGGTAGCCGATGAAAATTTACTGGTTCACAGAAATTTAAGGATCACTCAAGCAATCCGCGTCGTTTTGTACATGTTTCTCCATAACAAAATAATTTGAAATTTATAGTAATCATCATAAATATTAATATATCATGTCAACACATTAAGTATCACCCGAGAGGATAATTGTGCTATTATCCTTTCGCACGAACACGTCTGTTTAAAATAGACAGATATAGCTCCAAGTCATTTTGAAAATTTTCGTCCCTTTTGAATTTAAACGTCAGACTTACTTTC